CTATATGCAAGTTTTTAACATGGGGGGCAATTGTATTCGGATATAGTTGCCCCTGGTTAGCACTTTTGTGATTTAGCTTAAATCTAGATATAATTGCATGCAATTATAGTCGACGGAAGACGTTAATAGTTGTGCCAACATTTGTGTAATCAGTTTATGATAAAACAAAAAATAACTAATTTTTAACAAAGATTTTACTTTTTTCATAACATATGTGCGAATTCTTTGATTTTGGTTTTTCTCTTATGAAACGCTCAAAAAGTTTTCACTTAAAATTGAATGAATGAATGGTTTTCTTAATTATTGTAAATTAGAAATTGATAACTCTTTGCGATTATATATAAATTATGACAAAATCTACTCATAAAACAGGTAGTAATGAAATGAGAATAATATTTGTTGCGAAAAGTGATTTTACAAATGACTTATAAAACTAGTAATAACTCTCAAAAACCGTATTATATGTTTTGAATGAGATGTCGATTCAAATGTTTTTACATTTATTTGTAATTTGAATTATTATTATCAAAGAATTTAATTAATTATTATTATAATTATAATAATTTTTGAAACTTAAATCAAAGAATTGTTTCAATTTTATGTATAAATTATTTTCAACACTTAATTACTCTATCGGAAGAAATCTCTAATTTTTCATGAAATCATCATTTTTTATATAAATGTTTTCATTTGTTTTATGTGTTGTTTTTTATACAAAACTATGCATTTATTTTAGGGTTCATTTACGAGTAAAATATATGAGCTTTTTATTGAAATAAATATTAATTCAAATCAATTCATTACAGACTCTCTAAAACTTTTAGATTTGATTATTGTTTTGATTCGTTAAAAGACTACTTGTTTTGTGTCATTGAATGCATTCCTACTATTGATGTGTTTGAATGTGTTTTACGATTCTCTCTACTCTTTATACATATATTCTTCATATTATTTATTACTTTAAATTACAAATTTCTCTCTCAAACAAATCATGACTTTTTTTAGTTAATTGTAATTTTAAAACAAAATAGAAATCAAAAGATATTTATTATTAAAAAAGTTTTTGGAGAATAATTGAAAAATAAATAAAAAGTTTGTTTAAAAATAATATAAAAATAATTGATAGCGTTTTCAATGGTATTTTGGTTTGTGATGAACAGCAATGAGAAACTCATGGAGAGAGGAGTGAAATACCCTTACGATTGGGAGTCGAGAGCATAAATAAGCAGACATTAGACTCGTATCCCAACATTTATATAGCGTTACGCCGGTATGTATGCATCGATTGGCTATCACTCGCACGTAACCAATGGTTGAGTCCATTATTCAAATAATACAATCACTTTTCGTTCGCTTTCTGTTCAGTCTTTCAGTCCTTTTCCAGAATCGCTGACAAAACGTATTCTTCAAAGAATTTGTATTCAATTTATTCATAGATTTTTTTATTTCAAATATATTCCTATTTATTAAATATTTTTATGTTTTTTATTAATTATAATACAAGAGATATTTTTCATTTTATTATATTTGTTGTGTTTTGAGTTTTAATGTATTTTCAATAATACTTTTAACAAATTATATAATTTTAATTCATTTAAAGTTTTACATTATTTCACAAAATTAGTGCCAAAAACTATATATTTGTCATTCATTTGGACCATTGGTTTACAAAAGAAAACAAATGGTTTTTTCATTATTCAATTAACAGATATTTTGTATAAATGGAGAAAAAAGCATTCAATTAACTCAAAACCGATTGCATTTCGTTTTGCAGACAAAAGTCATTAAAGAAAACAACGAATCAGTCTTTCTCTCTATCTTTTCAGTGTTTTCGTCGATCATTATTATGAAGACATTAACCAATAATTCATTCATTAATCACTTCATTATATTTTTATGACATTTTTTCGTTAAATATATAATTAAATATAGAAATTATAATAATTAAAGTCATGAATTAAATCATAATTCAATGTTTACCTCAAAAATAAAGGCGAGAAAACACTGTTTAAAAACTCTAATGAAAATAACAATTAAAGTGAAATAACAGTTATATATAAACGAATGGATAACTGATCCGAATATATCTCAAGACTTTGTCATATTTTAAAAACAATTATTTAGCGGTGTTTTGAACGAAACAAAACTCAAAACAATTCATTCTCTTCGTGTGATTTCGGGCTTTAAATATAGGAATTGGAGACAAATTATATGAAAAATAGACAATAAAATAGAAATTTGTTTGAAATTGGTTTCAGAAAAACACACCAAATGTTTGTCTGATTTGTATAGAAGTAATGGAGAAACAAAATAATGTGAAATAATATCGGAATTAATGAAAATTCGTGAAAAATTATGAAACAAATCAATAATAATAATAATTAGGGGAAAAATAAATGATTTTAAAAAACAAAAGATAAATACAATTAGTTTTGAAAACACAAATAGAGTCTCAAAAAAGCGAGAAATAGAGCAAAAAGAGGAGAAATTAATTCAATTAAATTAATATAATTTTCTTCAAACAATGGTTTGTTTTTATCGCTGTTTTGTTTGTCCAACGGATTGGCTGTTGTATTGCATTCGCGTTGCAATCGTTATGTTATTCATTAATATTACAATTATTATCACCAAAAAAACGAGAGAAAAACAAAATATATTAACAAAACAAAAGATATTTATAAAAGAGATGAAAACTATTGGGAGTTGTGGTCGACATCGGGATCGGCGCCGACGACACGACACTCGGATGAGTTGTCGTCGTCCTCGCGGTGTTGGAGGTCGAGGTCGTGGTCGGTGTTGTCGTCGTCGTGGCTGTCGTTTTGGGTGTCTTCGGCGCCGACGACGTCGACGTCAACGTAAGGCAGTATATGAAGGATATCTCCGTTGAAAGAGAGAGCACTAGTCATGCGATTCCAGGGCCGCCACACGGCGTCGGCATCATAGGTGCCGCTCACGTGTTCCCACCTCTGGTCACAATACCTGTCCACGTGATAATCGGGCACTTCTTTTAACTTAGAGTTACTTTCAATTAAATTACTATTATTTGAGTCGTTATTAGTCTCTAAATCACTATTAGTTGCGTTCACTTCATTATTATCATCAAAGTCTTCGTCCCTATTGTGGTTATGGTCTCTATTATCAACACTAATGAAGTCACTATCACTGGAATTGTTATCAATTGATACACATTCAGTCAAATCCATGTCATTAATGGGCGGCAAACGAGACATTATTAGGTCTATCTCTTCGCCGACGATATCATTGGAAACACACTTTTGATGATTAGATGAGACGATGGCTGAGGATTGCGATGCATGTGCTGTGCCTTCAGGCGACCCAATCGGATGACCAGTGGTTCGCTGTTCACACGCGTTGGCCGTCGTGTGACCGCTGGTCACCACGTGTTGCGAACTCAAGTGAACGCGAATATAATCACTACTATATTCATCATTAATGGCAGGACTTGTTGTCGACGATTGACTCGAGAAGAACCTCTGCATCAGTTCTGATTTGGATTCCGTTTGGTTGTGGTCGACGTCCACACCCGTCGACTCCGACACCTTATTCTTCCGTTTAGTCCGCACTGTCGACACATTCCTATTGTTTGTCATTTGTTCCGTCTTCTCATCCAAATTCACTTCAATGTTGTACTTCTGGACCAACTCTTCCGTCGTCTGCGACTTCTGTATGCGTCGCCTGACGTCCAGTTTGTCCTGCAATGAGTCCAACTCTGGCCTCGCCTTCCGTTTGCGACCCTTTCTGGACGACGGGTCGTGCGAGGAGTGGTCGTCGGCGGTGAGTGGCATGTGTTGGCCGCCAGTCGTCGTACGGGTGGGCGACTGTCGGTCGGAGTGGTTCTGGAGGGCGACCATTGGGGACACGACTGGACTGTGGGTCGAGTCCGAGTCCAGTGACCCCTCATATGCGGTGGGCTTTGTGTCAAAGATGCCGTTGAATGTGAATGAATGGCTCTTATGGTGACTGTTGTGGTGATGAGTCCGATGGCCGGTCGGCTCGGATCGGGTGTTGCCGTACGACTGGCCGTCCACTGACGCGCTCTTCAGACCACTCACTGAACTCTTTGCCGATTCATTCAATACATTCATTTCCTGCGCCCAAACAAACCCTACACACCAACCGCTGGATCCGATTCGTCAGTGTCTTCGTGAGGGCGACCGGCGATAGTGTGGCCACACGTGCTATGCGTTGGGATGCGCTCAACGGGTGGCCAAACCAGTGACCGCTTCCGTCCATAACATTGCACTCATTGTAGTCAACGATTGTCTCAACAGAAAAAAGTGTAAACAATTTCAACAGATATTACAGTTCGCTATGGGTTTCACTCCTCAGACACCACCAGATGTCCGCACTGTCACCGCAAACACATCCACACAACACCACATACACCACACACATCACCCCTCACAACCCCCTCAGCCAACCCCTCAGCCCCGCACCCCCTCTCTGGCAGTGGACACGTGTTTGTGTCCGGGTTTGACGGCGAGTGTGGAGATTGGGGTCTATTTGATGGTCAGATGGACTGATGGTATGTATCGCTGGCACAGACTGTATGCCACAAAACACATGAATCCAAAGCCCATTGAATGCCCATTCAGTCCACCTCTCCATAGGGTTTGCATTAATGGGTCGATCCATAAAACACGTCACGTGTCATACATTGCAAAGTGTGTCATACTATTCGCATAAGACGTGCGCCCATAAGGGGGTATCGCGTCGGACGTGACTAGTATTGGGTTTAAAGGCTTTTTAATGCATTTATTATTGAAAAGTGTTAGCATTTTATGCCATAAATTGTGCCCTTTTTTGCGATTTGAAAACTTTTGGACACAAATAATGGCTTAAAAAACAATAAACATTACGTCAGAAATGCATCGCTTTTTCACCGATAAAAGCATTCAATGGTTATAACGATTACATCCAACCAGTGATGGAAACCGACCACCAATTGGTCACTGAAGAGGAGCTCAACAGCTGTTCAAAAGAGGTATTTTAATGAATAACTTTTTTAAAGAGACATTTTGTGTGACACATGTGTTATCTCACTGTCTTCAGGAACTGATCCAACGCATGCTTTCAATGCAATCACATGTGAGACAATTGAAGAATATATTAAACAAACGAAACTGTGGTTCGGATAACGAGAAGACGAAGAAGAAGTGCCGCCAAAAGAGTGACCGAAAAGACTTTGATTTCAGTCGTTATAAGTGCCGACACATTGCCCTCAAAGCGCTGTATCAGCCCCGCACCCCCTCTCTGGCAGTGGACACGTGTTTGTGTCCGGGTTTGACGGCGAGTGTGGAGATTGGGGTCTATTTGATGGTCAGATGGACTGATGGTATGTATCGCTGGCACAGACTGTATGTCACAAAACACATGAATTCAAAGCCCATTGAATGCCCATTCAGTCCACCTCTCCATAGGGTTTGCATTAATGGGTCGATCCATAAAACACGTCACACGTGTCACACATTGCAAAGTGTGTCACACTATTCGCATAAGACGTGCGGCCATTAGGGGGTGTCGTGTCGGACGTGACTAGTGTTGAGTTAAAAGGCTTTTCAATGCATTTATTATTGAAAAATGTTTGCATTTTATGCCATAAATTGTGCCCTTTTTTGGACCCCTTTTGTGAATTGAAAACTTTTGGACACAAATAATGGCTTAAAAAACAATAAACATTACGTCAGAAATGCATCGCTTTTTTGGCCGATAAAAGCATTCAATGATTATAACGATTACATCTAACCAGTGATGCAAACCGACCACCAATTGGTCACCGAAGAGGAGCTCAACAGCTGTTCAAAAGAGGTATTTTAGTGAAAGACACTTTTTTAAAGAGACATTTTGTGTGATACACGTGTGTTATCTCACGCGTCTTCAGGAACTGATCCAACGCATGCTATCAATGCAATCACATGTGAGACAATTGAAGAATGTATTAAACAAACGAAACTGTGGTTCGGATAACGAGAAGACGAAGAAGAAGTGCCGCCAAAAGAGTGACCGAAAAGACTTTGATTTCAGTCGTTATAAGTGCCGACACATTGCCCTCAAAGCGCTGTATTATTAAACAAACGAAACTGTGGTTCGGATAACGAGAAGACGAAGAAGAAGTGCCGCCAAAAGAGTGACCGAAAAGACTTTGATTTCAGTCGTTATAAGTGCCGACACATTGCCCTCAAAGCGCTGTACTTTGGATGGGATTATCAGGGATTTGCCGCTCAGGAGGACACCAACCATACGGTCGAATGGGCTCTGTTTGAGGCGCTCGTCAAGACCCGACTCATCCGCAGCCGTCAGACATCCAATTATCACCGCTGCGGTCGCACTGACAAAGGCGTGTCCGCCTTCTCGCAGACCATATCGCTGGACGTGAGGACTAATCTGAAGGCAGGCAAAGGCGTGATAACACCCGACGATTATGTCGATGACGGTCGCGACGACGAGACGACCGGTGACTCTGAGCCGCGAGAAATCAATTATATTATGATTTTAAACAATGTTTTGCCCGAAAATATTCGTGTTATTTGTTGGACACCCGTTGAGACCGATTTCAGCTCACGGTTTGACTGCAAATCCAGAAGTTATAAGTATTTGTTCCCAAAGGGAGGACTGGATGTCGAGCGCATGAGAATTGGCTGTAATTATCTGTTGGGCGAACACGACTTCAGGAACTTTTGCAAAATGGATGTCAACAACGGTGTCATCAACTATAGGAGGAATATATTGTCCATTGATTTACAGCGATATTCGTGTGAAGCTAATTGTGATAACTCTTTGGGTGATGAGACCTATTGGATGTATGCGTTGACAATCACCGGAACGGCATTCATATGGCATCAAATTCGATGTATTGTCGCTCTTCTATTCCTCGTCGGCCAACACAGAGAAGAGCCCGAAATAATCAAACAATTACTAGATGTGGACAAACATCCCAATAAACCACAGTATTGTATGTCCGCTGACTTTCCATTGATTTTGTTTGACTGCAGTTATGATGAAAAGGATGTTAAAGAGTGGATATATGATACCAAAGCGTCGGATCAGCTCATCAAACATTTGCAGAGCTTATGGACTAAACAAATGGTCAAAACAGATGTAATTAAATTAATGTTAAATAGTTTAACAAATGATTTTAAATCTCGCAATACATCCGAAGACTTGTCAGATAATAGTTTACTAATCGATACCTTATGTATGGGAGTCCGACATAAGGTGTATAAACCTTTGCTCGAGCGTCCAGTTTGTGGTCAGTATTTAAATCAATATATTTGTTGACTATTTGTTGAATAATTTTTTTGTGTTTTATATTTACAGAAAGTTTAGAGCAAAGGATCGAAAAGTCAAATAAAAGGACTAAAATGAAGAATTAGATCATATTTTAGTTAATATATGAAAAATTTGTTTATTTTTATACAAGTTTTATATAAATTTAACAATAATTTACAAATTAAATATCAGTTTCAATAGAAATTTTCGAAGTATTCCTAATTAATGGCAGATTTGTAGGCATTAAATGCTTATTATTAGAGCGCTTCCATTCGGGCGACAAGTATGAAGAGCTGTTCGTCTGAGGACTCAATTTATTGTATAATCGATGGCCGGTTAATGGCGGCGGAGGCGGTGGAGGTATATAACTATCGATCTGTTCGTAGTCTTTAATATTATCAGATGTCTGTCGGCTTAGATTCATATCGTTTTGAAGATTTTTTGGTTTATAGCAGTCCTCTGGATATGGATTGGCATTACTTTCTCTGTCTATTCTGTCTGTCGTTCCTTTCCTGTAGAGAGTTATTAACAAAATGTTAATTTATTTCCTTAAATATGAGTGCTTTTAATTGATTGAATACTTTTTGCATAATACGATTGTAACGATAATTATAATTATTATAACCAAAACGAAGGCAATGAGAGCCGAGATATATACGGCTCGTAACAGATGTCCTGTAAATTTAAATACGATTAACATGTAGTTTAAGAAATGTTAAGACATGACATACCGTCGAAGTCTGATCCCAATACTTGACAATTGGATAGATTTGTGTGTTCTTTGCAAAGAGATGTCAGATTGATATGTTTGGCCGGATATTCGGTTAGGAGTTCTGAATCGCTGTTTACGGAACCATCACTTGTCGAGACATCGTCTGAAGGAACAGTTGATTGCGTTGATTGTTGTGAAACAAGTTCTCCCGGAACTATAATATACGGTAATTATAGATATATTTACTGTTTAATAGAGAACTAAATGATATTACCTGTAGAACAGGGCCGGGAGTCGCCATATGAAGGACAGGCACATACATAACCTGCATTTGTTAAGCAATTGTTAATTGAGTAAACATTAAGCTAATTGTGCAAACCTTGTGGTCTGAAGAGACAGAGATGACTGCAGGCGCCGTTGTGTAGAGCGCACGGATTGGCACCGGTTTGCCGATTGAGAGACACGGCTTTGATTTCGACTAAGTTTTCAATATTATCACAAATGGTCTCGTGATCAGCACCGGTCACTTTGTTGGCCCTTTCGATGGCTTTTGAATGAGAGTCAGACCAATAGACGTATTGATCCATAATCGTGACCGCATAGGGATGTGCCATATCTTTGATTAGTATATTTCGATACTTTCCGTCCAAATCTGCGCTTTCTATGCGATCCAATTGAGAGTCGGCCCAAAAAATGCGATGATTTTCCATATCTATGGTCAGACTATTAGCCCGACCCATGTCTGAGGCTATGATCACTCGACGACTACTACCGTCTAAATAAGCTATTGTTTGAAATAAACATATTTTAAATACATTGAAATTTGTTGTCAAATAAGGTGTAAACCTCTTTCTATTTTAGGGACAGAACCGGAATCGACCCAAAACAAGAAGCCCAGGGCTGGCAATACTGCCAAAGCTTTGGGATCATTGAGATCTAAATCGATGATTACTTTGCGATACGAGCCGTCGTGTCGCGAGACTTGTATGACATTACGGCTGCTGTCACTCCAGTATAGGTTCTTCGAAAGCCAGTCAAACGCTATACTATTGGGCGCCGACACGTCCTTCTTGACCAGTATTTGAGCGTTAGATCCGTCGAAATCGAAGGATCGGATTTGAGTTAAGGCCAGATCGGACTGATATATCTTCTTTGTAGAAAAGTCGTAATCTATTGCCACTGAATCGTGTATATTGAGCGCTGATAGGTATACATCACTGTAGTCTTCGGTGTCCAATGATATTCGCCGAAGAGTTGTTTTGGTAGTTACCAACAGTTGACGCGATAAGTCTGAATGAATGGAAACAATCGCATATTAATAACACAAAGAATGATATAAATGTTAAAAAGTTGATGTTATGGGGGACTGACTCGGGTTACAGGTCTTCTCGTCGTTGTAGAGGACCATTCCTGTGGGACAGAGACATGAGTAGCCTTTGGCACTGTTTCTAAGGCAGAGGTGAGAACAGCCGCCGTTATTGATTTGGCACATGTTGTGTATGATATGCGAGTCGTTGGCCATTGTGTTTACGGCCCGGATATCCACTAAATTATTGAGACCCCTGAGTATAATCTCTGGGTTGGGCTCATTGGACACGATGTTGAGTCTATGTATGGCTCGGGTCTCCCAATCAGTCCAATACACGTAGTCATCGATGACGGCCACGCCGTAAGGCGCCGGCACTTCGCTCATCAGTAGCTTTCTGTTCACACCATTAATGTCTGCCATTTCGATGGTATGTGTTTGAGAGTCGGCCCAAATGAACCGACCCTTTCTGGTAATGGTTATACCGTTAGGCCAACCGAGTCTCTCGCTCACAATCACAGCCCTACGGCTGCCATCCATGTCTGCCCTCTCGATCCTAACCTGTGCGCCCCAATCGGCCCAAAGCATGTGACCAGTGAAGTGATTCACTGCTATGGCTCGGGGAGAGTCCAACTCATGCCAAATGAGTACTCGACGGTCAGTGCCGTCCAAATTGGACACCTCTATCCGCTTCCTTCCGGCGTCAGTCCAGTAAAGTTTTTTGCCGCTGTTGTCGACCGCCAGTCCGTTCACGTCATACAGACCAACGCCTATCACAACCTCAACAGTACCGGTAGTCATGTCCGCTCTGTATATCTTATCCTCTTTGATATCAGACCAGAAGACACTGTTATTTTCGACGTGAATGTCGACAATGATTGCATTATTTAGCTGTTGGTTGAGGGGAAGGACAACATCTGCATAATAGGGCACTTCGAGTGAAATCCTGCGAATCGTATTCCTGACGGCAACCACTAAATACTTTTGCATATCTGAGGCACAAGTCTTGCCATCGCTTGAAAGTCTAACACCTGTCGGACACGAACACCGATATCCCGGTGCGGACGGCGATAAAAGGCACAAATGACTGCAACCGGCGTTTGAGCACATATTCCGCACATCGCTCTTGGCTTCAATCAAGCGGTTGTCGAAAACTTGAATATCCATTAATTGTTCCAAACCAGCGATTAATGTCTTTCTTTGATCGCCATTTGTTTTGTGCGCGCTTTGAATGGATTTGAGCTCCAGATCTGTCCAATAGATATATTGGCCATAAATAACCAAACCGTACGGATGTTTCACATTACGAGATATAAGCGTTTGTCGTTTGGATCCATCTATTCGTGCATTCATTTAATTTATTTTATGTTAAAAATCTACAGAATATTCCGTAAATAAATAAAAAAAATATGCAAAATTCATACCAAACTCAGAGTATTCAATGTGTTTGGTTCCGGCGTCACTCCAATACAACTTCTTGTCCACCGAATCGATGGCCAATCCGTGCGGATGTGTTAAGTTAGACGAGTGAAGAGTTTTTCGTTGCGAGGCATCCATACCAGACCTCTCTATTTTGGCGTTTGATTTGTCCCATTGGGACCAAAACATGAGACCACTGTTCGGGTCGACCGCTATATCTCTAGGCTGTTCCAGCGCTTCCCATATGAGCAACGATCGCATCGAGCCGTCCATTTGGGACACTTCGATGAAGTTACGGCTGGTGTCGACCCAATATATATTCCTGGCCGCCCAGTCCACAGACAGACCCGACGGCGACTCTATTGAGCTCGAGATTATTGTCTCCTGACTCATACCATTCCAAAGGCCCCGGTTTATAGTCTTGTTGGTCACGTCTGACCAGAATATAGTCGACGACTCGGGATCGCAATCGATGGCCACAACGCTATTGATGTCTTTGAGCGGAAGGACGACATCAATATTGTCCTCTTCGGGACACTCGATACAAATGAGGCGAATATCGATTCGACGCGTGAACAGTAGGAATGTGTCGGCTTTGGCGCCGCATGTCTTGCCATCGCTGGTCAAGTGATGACCGGTCGGACAGACACACCGATAGGTGATATTGTTTGGCAAACATATATGACTGCACTCGTGTGCGGCACACCTGTCGATGACATCGGGTTGTCTTAAGGGATGCAAAATTGTAATATCCATCGGAAAGTGGAGTTTGTTGTGCACTAAAGATATGTTCTTTCCGTTCAGTTTACTCGCCGTTTGTATGCCTTTTGTCTATAAAATCCAATCAATAAATACATTGTCATCAATAATAAGACCATTAATTGAATCCATGAGTGAGACTAATATGAGTGCCAGACCTGCCAATCAGTCCAATACAGACTGTCCTCGAAGACAGTGATGGCAAACGGATGTGGTAAATCACCTGCAAAATTAATATCCATTTATTTTCTACGTTTTTCCTTTCCATTCATCATTGTCTGTCTCATTACCTTCGATGACATGTCTCCTATCACTTCCGTCCAGATTAGAGCACTCAATGACGTGATGTTTGGCGTCAACCCAATAGAGTCGGTGCGACGGGTGGTCTATAGTGAGACCGTTTGGCCAAAACAGAGACGTCTCCACAATAGCCGTCCGTCCGGTTCCGTCCATAAAAGCCCTCTCAATGCGCGGCTGTTGTCCCCAATCGGTCCAAAAGAGTGTCGAGTCGTCCGGATTGACGACAATAGCTCTCGGCTTTTCCACACCTTTCCAAAAGAGCACTTTCCTATCCATTCCCTCCAAATTAGAGAACTCTATCCGAGAAGTGCCCGAATCGGTCCAAAATATGCGATCGCACACCCAATCCACGGCAATACCGCCGGCGCTGACCAGACCAGCGCTCACTATAGCTTTCCTATCGGTTCCGTTGAGCGACGCCTTGTATATGACATCGGCGGTGATGTCCGACCAGAATATAAGATCCAATTCGTAGTGATAATCAATGGCGATGGCGTTCTGGAGATTACCCAAAACCGATGTATACTCGGAGTTATCCAAAGACACTCTTCGTATGTCAATACGATTGGCGAATACAATGATGGGTTCGGGTCCGAGCGCTTTGCACCGGCGTTTGTCGGCCCGTATTTTATAGCCTTTGGCGCAAAAGCATTGAAATCCTGGCACAGAGTTCTCGCAGCGCTGGGAACAGAGCTGTTCGGTCTGAAAGCACTCGTCCACATCCATACACGACCGGCCGTCGTATCCCATTTGATAGCCCTCTTTGCAGGCGCAGTGATGGCCATTCACTGTGGCTATGCATAAGTGCTGACAGGGAAAGCCGTCCTCACGACACGGCGTACCCGAAGCGCACGTGCCGTTCGCGTCCTCGTCGGACCCGTCCGGACAATTGGGCGCTCCGTTGCATACATTCATCTGATTAATACACGTGCCGTCCGTACACTTGAACGTACCGGTCGTGCACTCGCTTCGGGCGGCGCAGCCGTCTTCGTCCGAGTTGTCGCTGCAATCGATGTCTCCATCGCAGCGCCACTGTATGGAAATGCATCGACCGCTTCGGCACCGGAACTCTTCCGCTGTACACGATTTGGACGCTAAACACACATTAAATGATGATATTATCAGTTATTTTATTGATTTATATTATAATCAATTATAATATGTTTTGGATTAAATGTTTAGCAAAACTTTTTAAATTGAGAAAATATTAATAGTTATATAATACAAATAGTGTCGCCTTTCTGTACGCGTTTCAAAACTTTAATTCATAGATAATAACTATTATTATTGTGTGTTTCTAACAATAGTTATGTACTCTTCTTTGTGATAAAATATTTGGCTCTAAATTGTTTTCATTCACAACTCAATTATGGGTTACGACTAATGATATTTATCACTGCTTTTCAAGCGCTCACAAAAAGAGCTTTTATTCCTGAAATACAATCCATTAATTGAATTCAAATTATTCTACAAAAGCTTTCATTTACTCGATTCGTGATAATTATATTCTCGACAATTCTGTATGTTTTACAAAACAAAGTTTATTATATTATTATAAATAATATATTAAAAGCATTCACTTCACTGAAAATAATTTTGTCCATAAAAAATCAATTTAGAGCCAAATATTTTATCACAAAGAAGAGTACATAACTATTGTTAGAAACACACAATAATAATAGTTATTTGACAACTCGGACGAAGACGGCTGCGCCGCACGAAGCGAGAGAGAGAGAGAGAGAGAGAGAGAGAGAGAGCATTAAAAACGCTAATATTATTTTACATTATATTCTGTGAACTCAAGTGATATAAAATACAGCAATAGTTATAGCGATTGTCGTGAAAATCGATGGATAATAACAGTAATAATAATGAATGCATGAAATTCTTACGGCAATTAAGTTCATCGGACTTGTCCTCGCAATCGGGGTCTCCGTCACACTTCCAGTCAATGTTAATACACTGGCCATCACTGCACAGGTATTCAGTAGAACGGCATTCAACTCTTCCCTCTGGAGAACAATTGCAATAATAATGATAAACATTTTGGGCTAACTATGTGTCCCATTGGGACGACAGACAGCCTATTATACAGACAATGAGACTCATTGTGAGAGTCAACTAATTTAAAGCCATACAGTAGTGCAGAGTTGATCTCAAGTATATACATCTCAATCTGTTTTGGCTTAATAGGTCTCATGCGTGGCAAACACTCACCACACTTGGTCTCATCAGACCAGTCGCCGCAATCGTTATCCCCATCGCAATGATAGGCTTCGCTAATGCAGCGGCCGTTTCGGCACCGGTGCTGAGCGGACGGACACGAGATGTGGTCAATGGGGACGAGTTCGCAGTCCACTTCGTCCGAGCCGTCCACACAGTCTGTCTCGCCGTCGCAATGGAAAGACATTGAGACACAACCGCCCGAATGGCACCTGAACTCGGAGGCAGCGCACGGCCGGCCCATACACTCTTCGTCGGAACCGTCGCCGCAATCATCGGTTCCATCGCATTGCCATTCCGTTCGGACGCACCGCTCGTTCGCGCACTTGAATTCTCGATCAGTACTACAGTCTCGGGCTTTGCAGTCGTTTTCGTCGGAATTGTCGCCGCAATCGTTGTCTCCGTCACAGAACCACGTCTTCAGTACACATCGACCCGAAGAACACGTGAAGTGCTCTCCAGAACACACCGGAAGTGCTAAATATATGACACATTATAAGTTTAACGAATGACACATTAGTTATACAAAAGTATATTAAGTGCTTAACAATTAATTATTTAAGACCATCAGGATTGTCTTTATTACTTTTTAAAACACAATAATTTTATTGTAAACGCATGATCCGTATAAATTAATTGAATTAAAAATTTTAATTCATTTCTGGTTAATTATTTATTTTAAATTTAAATTTATTTGTTAAGAATTTTAAACAATGAATATAGACAAATTTAACAACATTGCTTAATAATGTTTGTTAACATAAGTTAATATATAAGATATAATAATAAACAATACACTATTGTATCTTTGAATACAAGTTAAGTTTAGAAAAGTATATATGAATTCTTACTGCATTGCAATTTAACCTAAATTTATTATTAATGATGTGATTTGTTTCATGTATTCTTATGAACAACATTTACGGACAAATATAATGTACACATTCTTCTCAGTCTTAGGGAGTATTTGGTTTATCATTAGTTTGTAATTAATTTCGAGAAATAAATAAATATTCAAAACCAAAACCTTTTTGTCTTTCTATACATTGCAGCGAAAATTGACTAAATATAAGCCGATTGTACAAAATAAGCCGAAGAATTAATAAAACATTTGAAACACAAATAATTACTTTGTATATAAAATGATGATCTCATCGATGATACATTGTTTATAACAAATGGCTTACAAATTATTCTCCAAAATATAAACAACAATAGATATATAACAGTAAGATAGATATGGTTAAATTATTGAGCTTACGTTAATTATAGTTAATAAATAAAATTACAATAATTATTACAATTATTGTATATTAATGTTACCATATCTAATAAAAGATTAGATATTTTGAATATGAAATCAAAGTACAGTGAATTTAATATTGAATATGAATTATAAAGTAATAATTATTATTGTGATTTTTATCTATAAATTATAATTGACGTAAACTATATAATTTAACTACTGTACATCTAGTTCATATATTTTATGCCAATAATGAAGTTAACTTGTGTAAAACTGAATCTGACAATAAATAATAAGTTAAAATAAATAACAAGGAATGTAAGCGAAATAATAATTTATATTCTGTACTAAAGCTCTAAATATGTTTTGGAGTCTATATATTGGACGAAGAAATGGTCCACTATTTAGGATTAGCTATAAAATGATTGAAAATGATAAATGAAGTCACGCTATAATTATTCAGTAAATCATTTCTCCTTAAATTGTCTTAAGTTTACATTTGAGATGATTTGAGACGAGAGAGAAATGTTGACGTTTGAGTCGAGTGTCTGGACTCTGGATAGATATAAAGGCCATTCAAGAGATCTGGCAAAACAACTGACACTACAGTTGTATACATCCCACGAGACTGAGTGCACATTACATACATCTTCCAGCATCTCATATATACAAGTCATACATAGTATAAGCAAAACATTTTTTAGTTTGATTTATTTGAAGCGAATTTTTAGAGTTTGAGAAATGATTTATTTGTTCTCAATAGCGTTAAGTGAGGTTTATAAGACAAGAAAGCTAAGGAAAACAAACTTAGTAATTAAACTAATATTTCATATTTTTGCTTTTTGAGTAATGTTTAGTGAGAGAGAAAGAACAACAGTTTCATTTGGATTTCTACCCCAAAAAGGAGAATATTTTTTCATTCAATTCATTACTTTCTGTAATATTTATTTGGACTTCATTTTTGCCAATATTTTAACATAAATTTTATAACAAAATCAATTCACAGACAGAGTATTATTGAGATTGATTTTGAATTCAATATACTTTTTTTTATTAACCAATGAATTTGGTATTTCGTTAATTAAAATTTATTTAACGCTTTTAGTGTTGAAAACTCTAAAGTTTTAAACAACGAGTTTTTGGTTAATATATTGGAGAAGACATTGACTTTTTAAAAGACAGTCGAATTGGAGTAAGAAGTCCTCAATTTAGCAAAAAAAAGTAATTATAATTTATTATCCTTTGCTCTGTTCTCATCCTCTTTCTTGTTATTCATTCAATACATCCGATAAACCATTTCGAGTGAGAAATACCAGAAACAGTCGCTGAGAGAGAGAGAGAGAGATTTGTAATGAGTTTTTCGTTTTTATACTTTATAATCAAATTAATGATTCAAACAAAAGGAATCGAAAGAACAGAATATTTGGAGTGAATTTACTGCCTAAGACTGAGAGAGAGAGAGAGAGAGAGAGAGAGAGCAAATGAATGAATGGGTGTAGAGTTGAGAAGCAATGGAAACCATGTCTTTTAAAATATTTATTATAAGCCTAAAGAATAACTGATTCCCCATTCGAGTCGAGTGTAAAATGAAGAGCAAAAAATATATTTGGCGTTAAAACCAATCTTTTCCATCAAATCCTTGGGTTTATTATACGGCATAAAAATATAAAAGCATTTTTAATACACTTTAATAGCGATTCCATTAAATACAGTATACAATGATTGACATTCAATGAGATCAAAGGTGGACAACGATTGAGAGCTTAACACATAAAATACATATTAGAATTTAATGAGCATTTCTTTGTATTTATATTATAACTTATGGTATATTTATAAATATTAATTCAATTAAAAATAACTATAGATATGATAAGAAACAATAGGATAACAGCTTTTCAATCAAATTCAATGACATTTTTTGAACACTTCGATAGGAAATGGGATTAACTGTTAGTGTTTTTATTTCAGTCCCATCTCTAAGAATACAAAACAATTTTTAGACTTTTGTCTCGACTCTAAGGATAAATATAATAACGGAGTCCAAAATGATTGGCTTTTGTATTATTTTCCAAATAATGTTTGAAATCTGTTTCTAATCTCGTAATCCCTGAATCTATTCTTGTATTTATTTTACTGCTATTTCAACGAAATAGTAAATAAAAATTATTTGTTTCATACATTTCTAAGAGAAAACCAGAATAAATATATATTTCATATACGTTTGTGACAAAAATTTTGCTGAATTTATATAAAAATTTCCTAAAGAAATGAGACAAAAGAAAACTCAATCAAAACAAATGCTGAATGTATTGACTATTGGGTAACAAAAATATGTTAACACTTGAAGCAAACATGAAATGAATTGTTAATACAAACATGATTTGAATTTAACTGAAATACGAGTTCACAAATACAACTATAATAACTATAGATTCTATAGTATAGAAAATATTTGGCCAAAAATTGCCAAATAAATCAAAGAATCAGATTTTAATATATTCTTATCGTATAAAATATTTACAAGTTTTCACAATTCTAGTAATATTTTCGATTTTGACTAAAGCTTTACACAAAAACAAAAATTCATTTCTAATAATATTTTCTATCAGTTCTTTGAATCGCAAGAAAAAAGTTATATTTGAAGCGAAATCGAGGATAAAAAGTATTGATAGATTGAGTGATGAAAACACATTATAAAACTTAAAACTAAAGTCGATATAAAATTTTATTCATTCATGAATCAGAAAAATACAGAGATTGGTTTGAGTCCTTTGGAGAGAGAGAGAGAGAGAGAGAGAGAGAGNAGAGAGAGAGAGAGAGAGAGAGAGAGAGAGAGAGAGAGAGAGAGAATTCAATAGAATCTCAAGTTTTATCAAATATCCAATTCATTGAGTTATCTATTTTGAGAAAGAGGTTCAATAAAAGCACTTATATATTGCAATATAAGTCAATAACCAATTCATTGATTAGAGACTCATATTTTTCATTAAAAATAAAGGACAAAAACACAGTAAGAAAATAAATAGCAATCAAATGTATGAATAGAAATCGGAAAATGTATTACAAAATATAACAACAAATACATAAATACAAGTTTTGTATCAGAATATTATGAATGAAATGATTGTATCACTAAATAAATCAATCAAAATATGCATCAAATCGAGTGAAATGAATGGCAATTCAGTCATATGAAGGATGAAGACCAACATATATGTGTCAAATTGTTATCAATTCACTCAAAACATATACTCCTAACAAATCTTACATAAACTTGTCATCAATTCATGCATTAAATTATTATAATATTCAATGCTTTCAATTCAATAATAAATTAATTGTAAAAATTCATTAACCGTTAAAATACGTGTCGATAGAAATCTTTTTTTGATAAAACTTTTTACTTATCTCTCGAAAATCAAAATGAATTTTATTTAATGAACTAATGTATTGATACTACCCTTTGAGATATGAATAAATATACAGCTTTTCCTCACACTTTTCATTCATTTATTATATTTTTACAAAAAATCATTTCTATTTTTATAGTTTTTATATATATTTCTAAAAAATCAATTCAATTCTTATGAGATTTTAGAGGCAAAACTTCAATTTATTTGAGAGCGAAGTTTTTGTGGGTTTAGTTTTTGATGGAAAAAATTATATCCAAAGAACTTCGACTAAAACCAAGAATTTCATATTTAATGGCTTTTATTGGGAGAAGAATTCAATGAACACTATTTGCTGTAATTATTAAAGATTTGATCACAAAATTCATTGCATTTTTACGACTTTAAAGATTAATAAAAGAAAATAATGAATTTTATATTGAAATTAATATACACTTTAAATACCTTTAAAATTTATTAAAATCAAAATTTTAGCAAAAATCTTAAACTATTAAAAGTGAAATAAAATATTTGCTGTACATTTACAGTACATTTATATACTGTTTAAATTAATTGCAATAAATTCTGTTTAAAATGTTTTTGAAAAATATATTATTTTATTTAAAAGTAAATTAAAATAAATGTGAAAATAGTATGTTTTTCAAACGGAAAGGATTTATATACCGTATAAACCGTTTAGAAAAATAGCGAAACATTTATAAGAATTAAAGTTTATTGAAGAGAAAAGTTGAAAAATAAGAGGAATTGTTGATCTCTGGTATAGATTTGCAAAATGACTGCTATTTTTGCTTTTCATTGGCTGTCCTTTCATTGAATGATTTATTCACTCCATTCGCTCATTCATAGTCTTATGCTATGGATTAGAGTCCAGTCGAGAGATGTGGACCCAAAAGATGTTAATATAATACATATAATATAAAAGCAAAAAAGATGGAGAGAGAGAGAGAGAGAAAGAAAGAGAGAGAGAGAGAGAGAGTTAATAAATGAATGAAAAGTGTGAGGAAAAGCTGTATATTTATTCATATCTCAAAGGGTAGTATCAATACATTAGTTCATTAAATAAAATTCATTTTGATTTTCGAGAGAGAGAGAGAGAGAGAAAGTTAGAGTCAAATGTGAGCCAAACTCTTATCTCATATGAGAGACCACTCTTTGTTACGGCAAAAGACTTAAAATTCCGATCAAATGGTGCGAAAC